CTTCTCCTTCTCTATTTTTTGTATTTCTCTTTTTCTTCTTCACTTCTCTCCCTCCCTTGCACCCCTATTCCTTCCTTTTCTTTCCCCATATACCCTCCCTCCCTCCTCCATCTCCTCCTCCTTTTCCCCTCTCATCTCCCTTCCCCTCCTTCTCCCCATCGTATCCTCCTCCCCTCCTTTTTCACTTCTCATCCACCCTCCTTCTCCCCTCGTATTCCTCCTCCTTCCCTCTTTCCTCTTTCCCCTCGTATCTCCTCCGCTCGTATTCCTCCTCCCTCCCCTTTCCTTCTCTTCCTCCTCCTCCCTCTCATCCTCGGCCTCTTCTCCCCTCTTCTCCTTCCAGCCTCCCCCCTTCTCCCTTTTCTTTTTTTTTTATTCTCCCCTTCATCTTCCCTCCTTCTCCCTCTATCCTCCTCCATCCCCTTCATCCTCCCCTCCATGTTCCCTCTCATCCTCCCCTCCTTCTTCCCCCCTCATCCTCTTCCTTCCCTCTTTCCTCTCCCCCTCCCCTCCCCTCTTCCCTTCTTCTCCTTCGTATCTCCTTCCCCTTCTTCTCTTCCTCCTCCTCCCCTCCTTTCCCCCTCTCATCCTCCCCTCTTTCCTCTCCCTCGTCCCCCTCTCCCACTCCTTCTCCCTTCGTATCCTCATTCCCTCCTCCTTTTCGTCATCCTCTCATCCTTCTCCCCTCATCCTCTCCCTCTTTCCTCTCCCCTCGTCCCCCTCTCCCTCCTTCTCCCTTCGTATCCTCATTCCCCTCCTCTTTTTCGTCATCCTCCATCCTTCTCCCCCTCTCATCCTCCCCTCTTTCTCTCCCCTCGTCCCCTCTCCCTCCTTTCTCCCTTCGTATCCTCCCCTCCTCCTCCCCTCTCATCCTCCCCTCCTTCTCCCCTCGTATCCTCCTCCTTCCCCTCTCATCCTCCCCTCTTTCCCCCTCCTCATCCTCCCCTCCTTCTCCCCCTCTCATCCTCCCTCCTTCTCCCCCTCTCATCCTCCCCTCCTCTCCCCTCTCATCCTCCCCTCGTATCCTCTTTCTTCCCTCTTTCCTCTCCCCCCCCGTCCCCTCTCCCCTTCTCTCCCTTCGTATCCTCCTTCCCCTCCTTCTCTCTCCTCCTCCCCTCCTTCCCCCCTCTCATCCTCCCCTCCTTCTCCCCCTCTCTCCTCCCGCTTCTCCCCTCTCATCCTCCCCTCGTATCTCTTTCTTCCCCTCTTTTCCTCTCCCCTCGTCCCCCTCTCCCCTCCTTCTCCCTTCGTATCCTCTTCCCC